CACCCTCACAGTGCCCATAAAAAGATGGTACCAATTTGACATCAAATTATATAAGTGTTAAACATATTTATAATTTACCAAATGTTTACTATTAAAAATTAATCTTAAGATTACTCTAATAGTTTGGTAATAATTTAAGATAATTCTCTCACCTCAAGAGTATTCATAGAGATTAGTGTCTTACCTGAAGAGGCTCCGACGTCGAATTTATTAATATGTTTTACTCAAAAAAATAATTAGTAAAGTCCTCCAATAGTTTAATAGGATTTATTTGGATGTAGATCTCGCAATAGTTTGGTGAGATTTTATTGTAAAATATTTATAAAATTTTATTTTTGAGAAAATTCATTAAATCTTCCAATAATTTGGTAAGACTTAACTTAAGATGCAATCTTCCAATAGTTTAGTAGGATAAAACACAAAAAAATATTTTTCTTTTAAAAATGATTTATGAAATTCTCTAATGGTTTGGTATATTTTATAAAATTTAAATTCATGAAAAATTCTTCAATAGTTTGGTAGGATTCATGAATTTATTTGAAAAGAGAATTTTTATTTTTTTAATATTTTTTATGCTGTTTTCCGAAGATAGCATAATAAAATTGAATTTTACAAAATATTTAATAATAAATTACTCAACTTTTAAAAAATCAGTAAAGAACAATAATAAAAAAAACTAAAAATAAAATACTTACAAAATAAAAATGGTAAAAATAAAATTTAAATTTAAAAAAAAACTTGCAATTGAGTCAAGTCGGACACGCGGGTTGTGCTCAGGTCAGTAGATTGACGCATGAATCCTAGGCTAGATGAAACAGTGTCATTTGGCACCAGTATAAAAGCCAACTCCTCAGCCTTTTCTTCAGAAGTTTTCAGTCCTATCTCTCTAGCCCTAAGTTTCCTTTGCCTTATCTCTAAAAACCTAAGAATAGATATCGAAAATTGGGCAACTCATCGGTTTTTGAAAAAAATCACTAGAATCTGGCAGGAAAATTTAAACTTTGTCTAAAAATTTAATAAAAAATTCAAGCATTCAACCCTAAACACATATTTTTTCAAAAATTTCTAGAAATTTTCATATTTTTTCTAAAAATTCAACCTTCAATCCCAGAACTTCGAATCCAAACCTTGAAATTCAAACTCTAAATCTTTAAACCCAAAAATCCAAACATAGAATCCCCAAAACTAAAATCTAAAATCTCAGAAACTCAAACCTAAAATCCCAAAATATTAAACTTAGAGTCTTTTGTCCAGAAATTTATTCCATGAATTGTTCTGTGATCCTATGTCCAATTTATAGCTAGCCTTAGTAGAAATTTTAGGGTTGAGACAAAACCAATCAAGGCTTGAATCCTGGGATTGGGTTCTGTCCGAATAGAACCAATCTAGACTTGAATCCTTGACTTGGATCCTATTCAACATGATTTTAGGCCTAAGTTTGGCAAGTTGTCTAATTTGATTCTTGATTTTATGCAAAATTAAAATCCCCTTTAATTATGCACAGATTAATTGCTTGATTCAACGCAAAAAAAGAAAAGAACATGAATAATAATAATAATATACATAAAAATCGGCACTAATTGACCTTGAATACAAATAGATGTCTACATGTAGCATGCTTGATAACAATGATCAAAGTAATTCAACAGTTTTTAAAAACCAAACCCATTCTAATATACTCTACTACCATAGTTTTCTTTACATGATCTTTTTTTTCTTAATTAATTCTTACAATGAACTTTTAGAAATTAGTAGAACACTTCAAGATAAGTTTGTTCATAGTTTAGAATATTAGTAGACTTTAGATATATCAAAAAATGCGTATTTATTCCATTATTTTTAATAATTTACTTTTTTTATAACAACTAAAGAAACCAAAATCATATGATTGTTTCACCTTGAAAGACACTTGTAACTCAAAAAAATAAGGAGACTAAAGTGTGCAATCAAACGGCAAAAATATGAATCAAGACAATATTGGTTTTTTGCTATAGTTTATAACATTGAATTTACCTTGATTTTAAGTTTTTTGAAGTGTAAGTTTTTTTTTTTTTTTTGTATTTAATTGGAAGAAGAGAAAAATAGTGTTATTCATCATGAAATTTAAAACACATGCAACTCTTGACTCATCTTGTGTTATTATTTCATTTATAGAATTAGGTCCAAGTGTTTTTGTTTTGTGGTTTTTGATCTATGTATAATGTAAGTTGGTTAATATTAATGAAAAAGTACGAGTAAAAAGTAAAAGTATTTGTGCAAGCCAGCATTCTATAGACTTTCACACTATTATCTAATCTAATAATAATTTTTTATCATATTGTTTGACATTATTATCCAAGGTAGCAATAATTCTATTTTTATTTACAATTAGTTGTATTTAAATAGAAGTCTATCAAAAAGATTTTACCCATTTTAATTAATTAATACATTAATTAATTCTACTACGTTTTCACTTAAAAACTTATTTTTAATAATAAATAAAATTTATAAAGATTTAAATTGTTAATTCAATAAACTTTTAAAAGTATTTTAGACTATAAATTTTAATATTTTTGAAATTTACATTTTTATATATAGTCAATATGAATTTAGATAGTATAAGTGTTAGAAAATTTAAGAAAATAGAAATAATAAGAAAGAAAAAAAATGATTTTAAGGTATGAAAAACACTATTTTAAAGGTAATTATGCCTATAGGATATAACAAAATTTTAATAAACTCTTCAAATCAGAAGTAATAAAATTGGTCAGATAGAAAAATCTATTTATAATAAGTGAATAATCATCAATTAAACCAATTCAAAATATCATGACATTATGCATAGTCATGTTTTTATGTTAAGATAAACCTTATTTAAACAGTCATATTTTCTTGTTTAGATATATTTATTTGGATAATCATGTTTTTTTCTGTTTAAATATGTTTATTCAAAATAAAAATAAATTTTAGAAATATTTAGAAATAAAAAAATAAAAGATTCAAAATTAAATCTATTTATTAATCAAGCTTAAGTGTCCAATTGTCTATTTTTAACTTTTAAAATTGTTTGACCTACTAAAAAAACTTCTAACAAGTTTAAACGACTTGATCCATTCCAACACTTAACACAATTACTTAAATAATATAAGTAATCTCTTTTAAACTACATATAAATAATTTTTTTAACTCAATACAAGATACACTATATTTTAAATTATCAACAATAAAACACTTTATATATATATATGTATGTATGTATGTATGTATATTCTGCTAGGCAGAATAAAACACACTTTTAGATAGTAACAATGGGTTAAGTTGAACGAGTGAGCCAAGTACTGTAGATGATTTGTCAAGGAGCTCTTTAAACTTGCTTGCCCTGACGTATCTAATAAACATTCGAGGCTTTGTTATATCATGAAAGTATATTAGCCTCTAAGAAAGTGTTACATATTTCACTCTCAAAATTATCAGATCTGCACGTGAAGGAATTAATTGCACACCTCGATCTCATTCAATCAATATATTTTCCGATGATATACAAACATATCATTTTCAAAACTCGAATGAAAGTGAATGGGATGTTGTTTTCCTCGTAATCAAGTGACAAGTGGTCCTTTTACGATCAACCTAATCTAGACAACTGTTGTTCTAAAGCAGAAATGAATAAACGATACTACTCTTTAAAAATTTATGTGTAACATGGCACGAGCTGGCATTTTTTTTTATCATCAAAACCGATTAGCAGCAACCACTGAGTTATGGAGAATCTGCTTTACAGTTACATATCACTTGCATGGCAAGGTGTCGCGATATTCATGAATGTTAGTGAGCTGTGACCACTTTGCTTCCAACACAAATGCATGGGAATGAATTGGATGCTTCATCTGTTCGCTCTCTGTTGTTTTCAGCATCGGTTTTTAATTCTCGTGTAGGTTTCGACATGTACATTTTGAGCTCTTTGATAAGAAGTTTTTATCTTTTTGAGCTCTTATCAATTGTGGTAACAAATTAGCAGTTTTAAATAAAAATGTTCAAAAATTATAATCAAAAGATATTAATTGACTTGAATTTTAAATAAAAATGTTCACTTGGATGGACAGCTAATTTGGCACTCTGTCATCTAAAAAGGAAAACATGCTTAGACATGGATGGACAGCTTACAGATTTATCATATATGAAAGAACGCAATTCCAGGTTGCATTCTGGAAATCCGGCAGATCCAGAGGCTGTGTATTGTTACTGATTTTCGTGCTACTATTATTTCTTTTCTTTTATACTTTTCAGTGATCTTTCTGTTTCTGGTTTTCCTGTCTGTAAAATTGTAGCAGCTTTCCCGCTTTCTTTGCATGTTGTAATAAATTTCAATTATAGAACAAAAAAAAAAAAGGGAAACCTAAAATATATAGTTTACTTTCCACTTGAAATGGTTGGTCATTATAGAAAAAGATGAAAACTGTACTAATTTATTCTCATTCAAAGATTAAATGCTCTTTGAATTTGTTCATTTTACCAACATTTATATATTAGGCATTTTTTTTTCTACAAAACAACGTCATAAATATTATTGGATTGAAAAAAATTAGTTAAAAATGTTATAAGATTTGAATGAGATAAAAAAAATCAATATTTTCATTAAAAATATAGTATTGAACCTTTTTTTTTATATAAAATAGTAATGAAATTCTCAATTAAAATTAAAATACGAATAACATTATTTTTATCTATAATTTATATAATATAAAACCACAAATGAAAAAAAATATTTTGAACTAATAAAAAATGGACATCATTGTATATTATATTGGGTCTAACAATACTTAGTAGATTATGTATAAAAAAATCTTCAAAATTATAACATTTCATCCTTAAAAAGTAAATGAATTTATTTAATAAGTAAATTAATTGTTTTATTTTCAGAGATTTAATTTTAATTAACCTTAAAAAAAATAAATTTAATAGATAATAAAGACAATTAAAGTTTATACTAAATTTCCCCATGCTTGATCAAGATAATTCGAGATAGCGTGTGAACACTCAAAACTCAGGACAGGCAACCAGCGTTTTTGGAGGGTTAGTCTTTTTGGTTTGAAACTCCCTGTTCTGTTAGGATTAGGGTTTACAACTTTTTGGTTAGGATTTTGTCTAAGGCGGCTAGGGTTTTTCATTGACCTTTCTATATAATTTTATGTTGCCTTCCTTCTTTTCCTTTGTCATCAAGTCTCCCTCTAGATCTATAGAACTTACCAAAGTTCTTTCAATTTTCCCACTTCCTTTCTTCAATTCCCACACTTCAGCTTTAAAAATTATCAAATTTTCTCTTTAAACTCGTTTTTTGGATCCAAATTCTCGTCTGGTATTTTTATTCTTTGCTGAGCATTGAACATTCATCATCTCCATTCTCAAGTTATTCAATTTGGATTTTCTTTTGTTACTGGTAAGTTTTCCTGGTTTAATTTTTTTTCCAGAGACCGATTTCAGTTTTTTTATTGCTACTTTTTTACAATCTGATTACTATATTCATTGAATTCAATCTGGTTTTATTATTTTTGTTAGAAAATGTTTGGCTTTTTATGCAATTTTTAGTTGCTTTGATTGTTATCTGATTGAGAGTTTTTGGTTCTGCTTCTTACCTAGGTTTAATCAGATAGCATTGATCCAATACACTTTGGCAGTTGAAAACTCGTTTAGATTAATTGAAAGTTAAAGTTTTGGGATAGAGTTGGATTCGATTTTAAACCTTTACTTGTTATAACTTAGTTATCCTGAATCTTTCTCTTCCTTTATGAGACCGCCGCCATCAAATTGTGCTGGCAGTGATGCCATTGGTATTTGGCCTGAATTTTCCATGAATGATGGTCAATTTGACCCGCATTCAGAGTTTGAACAACAACAACAACAACAACCTCCCTTCAAAAGACCTAGACATTCCGAGGACAGCCAATCAAATGTTGTGCAATGCACGCCTACAAATTCCAGGGCGCCTATGCCCTTAAATCCTTCAGTAAATAGGGGAACGAGTAATATTTTCTTTAAAACTCGTATGTGTGCGAAATTTAGATTGGGCACTTGTAGGAATGGTGAAGGTTGCAACTTTGCTCATGGCATTGAGGATCTGCGTCAGCCTCCTCCTAATTGGCAAGAACTTATTGGTGGACGAGAGGAAGAACGCCCATCAGGGAATTGGGATGATGATCAGAAGATAATCCATCGGATGAAGCTATGTAAGAAGTTTTATAATGGAGAGCAATGTCCATATGGGGACAGATGTAATTTTCTTCATGAAGATCCATCAAAGTTCAGGGATGATATGGGGAGGTTAAGGGAGAGCTCAGCTATAGGCATAGGCACAACAGCTCTACCTGCAGGGCATGGAACTGCATCTGATCAATCAGAAGGTAATAGGCCAGTAAACAGCACTGGTTCAGATGCTTCTCGAGGAAATATGAAGCCTGTGTATCCTGTGTATTGGAAAACAAAATTATGTACAAAATGGGAGACAACGGGTCAATGCCCCTTTGGTGACAAATGTCATTTTGCTCATGGGCAAGCAGGTATATATCATGTTACGGTTTTTCTTATGGCTTGATTTATCTTGTCATTTATGTCGTGCAATCATAAGAATTCATAAAGATATGTTGAACTTATACTTTTGCCTTAAATACTAACCAGGTGATTTCTATTTATTCTATGACTTAAGGAATGAACTTACTATTTGCTATTCCTTTTCGAATTTTTTTATCCAATTATCTTCGTAGGCATTGGCTTTCCTATCCAAAATGTAATACTGTTGTGGAAGAGATTTGATATCCAAAATGTAATACTGTTGACAGGATGCTTTAGGTGTGAGTATGAAACAGACCATTATATTTCTTTGTTTCATTGTGCTCCATATTTCACTTTCCTGTATAGTTTTGATGCATATACACGAGATAAGCAGAATGATGCTTTTATGCATATTTGCCTTGGCCTGAATTGATGCATTATTAGTCATGATAACTTCTGCCTATATGAAAAATGAGGAACATATGTAAGTAATATATTGGTGGCAAATCTTTATCTAATGTTGCCTGTTTTTTGTAATCAGAGTTGCACGGGATAGGTGGACTTGTTGATGGGGACTTTGGGAATACAGGTTTTGGTTTGACAAGAATTGGTTCGATTTCAACAAAAATTCCTGCTAATGATCCATCTGCAGTGACAGCAAGTGTCCCTTTAAATGAAGAAGCCCAGGCTAAGAAATGTTTGTTCAAATGGAAAGGACCGAGGAAAATCAATAGGATTTATGGGGATTGGATTGATGATATGCCATTGTTACATAATTTTCCCAGTCAGGTGGAGAGCTGAGTTCAAATTCAATTTTAAATATCGGAGCTGAAGATTAAGGATTATTCTTTTGAGTTCTGTTCTGGCCTCCATTGAGTCATTTAAAGAGCATGCAACATTTAGTTAGAAAATCATTTTCCTTTTCAAATTATTGTATCTCAGCTATCAGCTCTGGTTGTTTTGCCTGGTCAAATAGGGTTTCCCAAATTGCTTCTCTTCCTTTGTTATCGGGGTTGAAAAATCCAATAATTGTCTTCAGATAATGTGAGTATCAAAATTAAAGCAAGAGTTTGAGTGAGATATATCCAATCAATATCATTTTTATCCATTATATTCTTTTTGTTAACGAAATATTCACCATCTTGTTTCTTCAAAATATTAGTAAAAAGTATCACAGTAAATGACAAAAAGTAAAATTATTGATCTAAAAATGAATAACTAAGATATTAATTGTTCAAAACATCATATTATTTACACATTATTATGGGTATTTGATGGTCAAAATCGTATAATGATTTTTTTTTTCTATTAGAAGTTTTCAGCAGACAATCAAAGATATTTTTGTTATTTATGTCAATTTGACATGTCAAGTCGGTTTGACATGTTCAGTGTCACATTAGCTTAACATTATCTTTATTATCCCCTGATGGTCACCTGTAACTTATCTATACATATGAAGGTCCAAGCATCATTAAAGCAGATTCATTCAACTCCCTTTCTATCCTTCATAATTTCTTTTCGATCTCACTCTTTTTCACTTATGTTTCGGAATGCAAACGCAAGGAACACACCTTGCATTTGCCTCAACCATCCTTCTCATCTCTTTTGTCTTTCCAAAAATGCTTCGAGTTGGAGCTCAACACAAACATTTGATGCATTAGGTAAGGAACCTTTTCTCTCATTGGCCAAACATAAAGCAATATCTCTAAGTAAGAAAACCTTAGAGGAAAGAGAAACAATCGTCTCGGTTGGAATAGAAACCCATCATAGCTAACATTTTGTCTTATCAGTCTGACCATAGGCGGGCCCGACCATGGAACAATTTCATGTCCTGATCGAATAATACAGGCTTTTAAGCAGATGTTACAAACTATAACCCTACTGTAAGTTTCGAAAGTGCCTAACTTAATCATCCCTGAACGAGGAGTCATTATTAAACAATCGAGCTACAAAAAAGTGGAAGCCTCTTCGGTCTTTAGAAAAGATGAGCTCACAACCTCAACCCACAACGCCAACCCACCATTACCCTAGCCATAATTCAACATAGGCTATGACTTAAAAATCCAAACAAAAAAACCTTGAACCCCAACCAAATAGAGATTTAAAAGCTCGGATGCAAGCCATGAAAAAAGAACTAAAAACAAAAGTAATAGCATTTGAAGATAAGCTCAAGTTTTTAAAACATCTCCTTTCACTGAAGAAATCATCAAAGCTATACCTCTCAAAGGGTTCAAAATGCTAACCTTAGAAACCTGCGATGGTACTTCTAACCCCTTCGATTATTTAAAATTTTATAGAACTAACATGATGATACAAGGGGCAAACGAGGCTCTAATGTGCAAAGGCCTAGCGACTAGATTGAAGGGCATAACTCGATCCTAGTACAGCAACCTGGAACCTAGGTCAATCACGACATTCAATGAGCTCAGCCACTCTTTCCTGTCCAAGTTTAAAAGTAGTTGAAAAGCTAAAAAAATAACTCTAATTTTGATGTCAATCCACTAAGGATGAAATGAAACTTTAAAGAGCTATGTTACGCATTTTAACGTGAAAGTTTTACATGCTAAAGTCCTAAAATAGATGGCGGTCATTACCACCCTAACAAGTAGACTCCATAACAAAGAGTACCACTTAAATTTAACTTTGTTGCTAGAACTACCTAAAACTCTGGCTAACGTCCTATTGATAGTAAAAAAATACATAAATGCTGAAGCTATAATGAAAACTAACCGAGGTGAGAAAGGCTCATCCCCTATTTTTGATGGTCGAGGTGAGAGAGGCTCATCCTTTTACTTTAGTCGTAATAAAGTAAAAATTTCTACAATCTTCTCCCAAAAGGAAGATGACATAAGGCTAAAAGCCCTAGTGAAGAAAGAAGCTACATTGCACCGAATACCTTTCAAGAGAAAGGATTCTAATAAAATTGAAAGAAAAGCTCAACTTCAAATGGCCAAAGCCACTAAGACAAAACATGAGGAAAAATTCGACCAAAATATGTGCCTTTCATGAAGATATAGGCCATAACATTGAAGATTATGTCGACCTAACAAATGAGATTGAAGCTCTAATAAAAAGAGGTTAGCTGAAGAATTTATGGGATAAAGAAGACAAACCAACCTAGAACAAACTATAGGTAAGACAAAAGAGGGCCCATCAGAGATAGAAAAGGGAAGATCAGAACATGAAAGAAGGAAAACCTAAGGAGACAAGCTGATTCAAGAAAAATTGATAATAATAGGCCAGTTGCTAGTGTGATTAACGTGATCATTAGGGGATAACTTCACCTCGACCAAGAAAAGTTTAACCCAGGTATGGTTATGACGGTAGGTATCTCGACAAAAAAAAAAAAAAAAACTAAAAAGATGAGTTGATCTCAGCTCGAAAAATCTTGAAAGAATCCAATACCCACATGATGATGTTATAGTAATCACATCCTTAGTGTACAACTATATAATTAAAAAAATCCTATTTGATAATGGGAGTTTAACCAATGTTATGTATTATGGTTATGAGAAAAAATGGGAATTAGTGAAGATCAATTGAAATTGACCATCACAACACTTGTGGGAATTGGAAACGAGCAGGTACCAATAAAAAAACCATTAAGCTTTTGATTTTCTTAAGGATTGAACCGAAGACTATCACCTCAATTATAGAATTCATGGTTGTAGACATCCTATCAGCTTATAACATGATATTGGATTAGCTTAGCCAGTATGTTATGTGACTTATAGGCTTAGTTTCCCATTTGAAAGTGAAACTTCCAACATTTAGTGAGGTTAGAAAAGTTTGGAGAGATCAGTTTACAGCATAATAATGTTATATTAAAATAATAAAAGGCAAGAATGGGAAGTAGATGGATAATTTGGCAAAAACTAAGGTCAAAAGCAAAGAAAAACAACCACAAAAAATAAACAAGAAATAGAAAGTCAACAGTGAAAGTACAGAACGTAAGATCGACTTGACAGAAATGCGTTCTTAAGTCGCTCTAAGCTGATAAGCCCTAACAAAAAAATTTTATTTTATTTTTTAAATTTTTTGAGGTAACTCCAAAGATGACTGAGCTTTTAAGACGATGTGAACAACCATATGTCATTTAGGTCAAACTAATAAGTTAGTCAAAATACAGTATGAAATGAAAAATATATACCAAATTTACTACATACATATTTAATAAGGTACACACAGTATACTAATTATCACGAGAGGATCTATTTTTGTAGGAAATGGTCTTAAACTAATTGAATAAAAAGAGATAATTGATCAAAGATCAAACTTGAATAAAAATCAAACTAAGCCGATCGAAGACCTCAAAACAGTTTTCTTCTGGAATAGCATTCCCTGGAAAACATATATAGATTAAAGCTAAAATTTAACATAAGGATCAATTAATTCAACTCTTAAAAGATAATGTCAACCTGCTTGCTTGGACACCATCCGATATGCCTGGTATTAATACCAAAGTGATGGTTTATAAGCTGTATACTAATCCTAACATAAAACTAGTTCATTAAAAAAATAATCTTTACTCTAGAAAGATAATAGGCTATCAAGGAGGAGGTCGATAAATTATTGTGAGAAAGATTCATCAAGTAGGTTTATTACCCTGAATGGATAACCAATGTGGTTATAGTCAAAAAGCATAATAGAAAATAGAGGATGTGCATTAACTTTATTGACTAAACAAAGCCTGTCTAAAGGACAGCTTTGCTTTCCTTCGTATAAATCGATTTGTGGACGACAGTGCCGAACATGGCCTCCTTAGTTTTATGGATGCCTATTCTGGTTACAATTAAATCAAAATGCTAGAAGACAATGATGAAAAAACAACCTTTATTATTAAGAAAGGCCTTTACTGTTATAAGATAATGCTTTTTGGATTAAAGAATGCAAGGGTAACCTACCAAAGACAGGCAAACAAGGTGTTTAAAAATCAAATTGATCACTACATAGAAGTAAATGTGAACAACATGATAATTAAGAGTAATAGCTTGATCAAACACCTGAAAGACCTCAAAGCGACCTTCAACACCTTGAAAAAGTATGATATAAGACTTAACTTAAATAAATGTGCTTTTGAGATCACGTCAGTAAGTTCATCAGTTACATAATCAACAAAAAAGGCATAAAGGCAAACCTAGAAAAGGTTTAGGTGATCTTGAACATGAAAGCGCCAACCTTGATAAAAGAAATACAAAAGTTAACTAGTAGATAGCTACCTTAAGTCGATTCATTTTTAAGTAGGTAGAACGATATTTGCCATTTTTTAAAATCCTCAAGAATGTCTCTGACTTTAGGTGGACTCCTTAATGCCAAAAAATTTTAAAATACTTAAAAATTTATTATCTTTTCTACCTGTTGTCCAAGCTAAGGCTTGGTGAGATCTTGTACCTATATGTAGCTAGCACAGGCTAGACCGTTAGCTTAATTTTGATCCAAAAAGAATAAGGGAAACAAAGATCGATCTATTTTGTAAACAAGGTACTGACAGGGCCAGAAACTAACCATAGTGACATAGAAAAGCTCGCTTATGTCATTGTCACCTCAGTCAGAAAATTGAAACTATATTTTCAAGCTCACACAATTCACATATTGATCGACCAGCCACTAGGGTAAGTTTTACAGACGCTTGAAATATAAAAAAAACTAATTAAATGGGTGGTAGAGCTCAACAAATTTGACTTACTCATATTATCTAGGTCAACCTTAAAGTCATAGGTACTAGTAAATTTTGTTATTGAATTTACCTTGGTACACCCTAAAAGATAATTCGAAGAAAAAAAAATCTCGAATAAAAGTAATTGGAAACTCTATGTTGACAAATCAACCATAAGCCACAATAGAAAAGTTGGCTTATTCTGATAAGCCCAGAAGGGCTACAGTACCCAATACCCATACGCCTAGAGGTTCAAGTTCAAAGTATCCAATAATGAAACGAAATATGAAGCATTGATAGTTAGTTTACAATTGACAACCAAGCTAAATGTGCAACATATAACCACGTATAGCAACTCTCAACTGGTGGTCGGTTAAATAAATGAAGAGTTCAGAGCTTAAAAAGATGAGATTCGAAAGTATCT